TTTCCTGAATTCGTTTATACGATTGATAATATTCAGCGTTTTCCGCAACAAACTTTGGAGAGCCTCAAATCGGCATATCAAATTTTGTATGGAATAAATTTACCAGGTCGATTGTAGCCGCTTTGGCCGCTGAGACATGTGATTTTCGGCAAGCGGCTAGGGTTTCTGGTATAAGAAATGCGGGAGCTGTCAGCAGTTCATTTTTGAGATCTGCGCTGCGAGAGATGTCATCACTCACTTGTGTCGAGCATTCGTACGACAGTTGACCAACAAAACTATATGAACGTTTTTATTGGTTGAAATGCAGAGCGGGGTTCACAGTATGTGAACTTCACTCTCGAAGACTTGGCGCAGAGGACACAGGGATGGTACGTTTACTGCTCGGTTGTCTAGTTCTATGAGGTGTAGCCTAACCAATCTACGTGTGTGTGTTCCGTTCAACATGTTTAGCTTCTCGGACCAGACGCAGCATCGTCGTGATCTTGAGTTGCGTTGCACGTTGTCTGCGAGATGCACCACCAAGCCGAAGACTATTGACACCTGTGATGCAAAGCGCTGTCGCCTGTTGCTGAGTCATGGAGGTAGGAAGAGCCTTACCTGTGCATCGTTCAACTGCTTGAGATATATGCTGCATCATAACGCTCCACTCTGAGTAAGTCTGCCGCTTTTTTACGTGTGGACAGGTCGCTGGTGCTGACAGATTTCAACGGAGGGAATCCCATCCCTTCATTCCCGAACCGCCACATTAACCAAGCGTGGAGCACGTCCGTGCTCGGAAACTCAAATGTTTCTGGTAAGGTGTGTAGCTTTCCATCACTGGGCCAGAAGTGAACGGTCGTCCGTGAAGTGATCCTGCTTCTCTCCGATTCGTCGTGTGAGCTTGGTGTTTCAGCTCGTTCACCTAGTATTTTGCGCATAGTTTCTTCTAGTTGCTGCTGCGTAATTCCATTCCCACAAATTCCTTTCTCTTCCAGCATTCTTGCAAACCGCTCTGCTAAAGCATCAGGTAGAGAGTGTACCGTGCTTTGTATTTGCTGCTGCAATCCGAACATTACCACTTTGGGGGGAATGCCCGTTGCCGCCATCCATGAGGAATTCTGGTGCACTAGCTCTAGAGAGAGCCTTTGCGCCGAGACGAAATAAACTTGAGGCTTTAAATGGGTGCGTATTTGGTAGCACCGATGCGAAGTAGTCGTAGTGAAATACGAGCGACGCTAAGCTCAGCTTTAGTATTGGTTGGAACCCATTCTCCCCAGCCAGCGTTGGAAATACAGTTTTCACTGCGTCGCAGACGACACCATTACTGTTATTCTGAAAGTGCGGAGGCAGAATGGTAAATTCCGCGCTATTGACAGGGAGACCCGCTACAACACGACCTAAGAACTGGTCTCCCGCCGACTCGTAGCGGAAGTACCGATCTTGAACGCCCGTCAGTGACCAGCCGCATCTTAAGCGGACACTAACAATTGACGGACCACCAGTGCTACCGCTGCACGCGTAAGTTGCCACTCCCTTCCTAATCGAATGCGTGCCGTACTCAGTTTGATTATCTTGCTGGTCGATCGCGCGTGCAAATGTCTTCCGAATTGATTTCGCTGCAGAGATCCTGGAAATAGTGGCCCCGGCCCTTGGCGCGGACAGCAAGCCCAATATAGTCCGAGGACAGTAATGCAGCAAGTCCACGGAGCCAGCGGGTTGGCGTAGACATGTCGAGGGTCTTTGGGTCCGTTTCCGTCTTGGTTAGCTTTACTTTTGTGAAAAACAATACCGACACTGTCGCCCTCTTTAGAAAGATGGCCGGAATGAATTGTTTCTACAGATTGCGATCGGCACATCAAGTTCTATTGCAATGTAAGGAAAACATGGGCAAATCCTCCGTCGGGCAGAACAAGCGTATTCATACATGCTTGTTCGTACGCTGAGTAGGGTAACGCCATTTTTTCCTGCCTTCTTCGCCTCCCCCGGACCTGTCTGGTTACGGGTGGCTTCAATCTTTTTAAGACCAGCAAAAATAGTCTTCCTATCATCAGCATACGCGTTCGGAAGAGCAGTTGCTGCTGCCGATATATGTCCTTAACGGTGCTCTTGTAACCCCCGAGGGTAGTAACCTTGAGCGAGATGGCAGTATTCATTTTGGCAAGAATGAAGACTCGAAAATGTTTAGGGGTAAACTCGTGCATATTGATGCTGTCATCGATATTGAACAATCGGTCGGGATCGCTAAGTGTTTAGCGAATCCAAGTGGCAATACCGCGGCGATAACTGGGGTGGGCTGCTTGCGTTCTTAAGGAAGTACACGCACGACAAACTTCATCAATGTCAAGTTGCTGGTTGAGAACATCAGCGACACTGGCAGCACCACTGGCAGCACCACTGCTATCAGGGCTTCCATGGCTGGGGATCAAGGAGGCTGAGTGGGAGTCGGGAGGTTGTGGTAGTTGCTGGGCAGGAGTCTTGCTTTTGTGTGTGCTGTAGCGAGGCATTGAGAATCCTTCACGGAGGGAACGAACTTGGTGGTTGGAGCATCAAATTGGAGTGGCCACTTTGCCTTTAGGTTCAGACCAGGGTAGATTTTAGCCAATTATTGCCCTTAGATCAATGCCCGACGATCTGGCGTACGTATTGTTTGACAAACTCGTTGGTAGTAGAAATGTACGACCTAATAGTAAAATTAAGTATAAACGGGGATCCGCACAGCACGTTGATCGCAAATCGTACGACATTATGTCGTACACTTGCTTACAAAAGCCAAGTTTGGTCTTACGAAAAATCATGAACCCACGATGAGAGGCTACGCGGTTGCCGCTGAGAAATTTCTGGGTCAAGTGTGGAACGAGTTGACGAATAAGTACTGGTCGTTCAGGAAGTCCCTTGGCCTGAGTGACGACCGTAGGTATCTACCACCGGGAAGAAGTCTCAAGAGGACTGAGGGCGTTGACTACTTCCTTGGTGTTCTAGGTGCTGTTATATGCCTCCACAAGCTCGTTTTGTTCGTGCTTACAGGAGACGAGAGTTTGATGAGGTATTGCTGCCGCCAGGGAAAGCTGGAGTTGTAACCACTTTCAAGTGCGCCTCTACCTGCTGCCCAAGCCGAACCGACGAAACCCCGCACAGAATTGGGTGTAGCAAAGCCAGCGCCGAAGCCAATAGCCAATTGACAGTGGTGCTGAGTCCGACGATATGCACATCTGATTCACGTAGCTTGACTTGGTAATAACCCCAGAGTAAGTCCATGCACGAGTACCAATAGCTGCCGGCCATCGCATCAAAGGTGTCTTCTTTGCGAGGCATCGGAATGGCCGGTAAAACCGTAGCCAAATTCAACTGACGATAGTCGTGTACAATTCGCCAACCGACTGGTTTCTTCACACA